CCCCCGCGACTCAAGGGTGGAGGGTCGTTGCCCATCCAGTCCCGCGACGACCCTGGGCTCAGAAGAGGTTTCCCTCCCGCGCGCTCTCGCGGCCCCACCATGGCCGCAAGTCAAGGCGCTGAGAGTCCTCCATGGCATTGCACCATCGCCACCTGCGTCCGCTTTCCCTCGTCCTCGACTGTGCTTCGTTCGCTCCCTGAGAGCGTGCTGGTCGTTCGCCCGCCTGTCGCGTCGCCTGTCGCGTCGCCTACTGCGCCTTCCTTACGCCCCCCCCCCTGGTCGGTGGTCGGCTTTGTCCTCCCCTCTCTCCCCGCCATTCCACGCCCAGATGGCATGTGGTGCCGCCGTTCTGAGGCCGGCGCTCGCGGGCCCCAGCTGCTGCATCTGGCTTTCTCCGCCTCGTCGCTGCGCGCGAGGCCGCGACCGCCAAAAAGTGTGTGTGTGTGTGTGTGTGTGCTCTCCCTCCTCCCCCCCGACCGCGGCCGCTTCCTCCCCTCCTTTTCCCACACGTGCTGCTAGTCAATTCGCGATGCCGTTACCTGGCTTGCCCGAGCGCGCGTGCGGACAGCTTCTGCCGCGTTGCGATGAGGAAAGTGTGTGTGTATTCGTTGGGCGGTGTGCCATTTCGGGTGGTTTCTGGGGGCCTCCGCAGACATCGCGGGCACCCCATGCCCGGCCCCCCCGCGGGCAAGGAATGAATGACCTCTGGGAGGGTCGGTTGGGCATGGGCACCGTTGCGTCGACACACAATAAATTCAGCGGGGGATGGGGGTAACCGCTGGGCCGCGCACGCTTCCACTAGGGTCGGACACCACCCAGCAGGATCCCAGATCTGACAGGATCGCTAAAAAGAGAAGGGCGATGTGTTGACGAGCGATGGTAACAAATCGCCGGGACTGACCAGGCTACCATGCACGCCCTTATGATGGCCACGCTTCATGCGATTATGCCTGTCCGTTCGCCGGTTATTGCGAAGGCCTCACGGCCAGTGCTGCCGACCTTGACAGGGGGAAGTCGACGATGACGGCGACGACGAAGAACATTCAAATTTCATGACAATCGTTAGTGTTGACCCTTTTGGGGTTCTCTTGGGAGTGCTCTTGGGGCTCTGTTCGGCCTCGTGCGGGCCTGCCCGTCCGCCAGTTATTTACCCGTCCCGCCTGAGGACATGTGTCGGATGTCCCACACCTATTCACCTCCACCCCCATACCGGCACAGGTGACGGCGGCCCGCTCGTGCCCTATTGGGAGCCGCGATTCTCGTTCTGCTCCTGCTCCTCTCCTACTCCTCCTCCTCCTCCTCCTCCTCCTCCTCCTCCTCCTCCTCCTCCTCCTCCTCCTCCTCCTCCTCCTCCTCCTCCTCCCCGTCGTCGTGCTCCTCCTCTTCTCCCTCTCCCTCTGCCCCCCCACCTCGCCCTCTCCCTCACCTTTGCCTCCCACCTTCTCCGCGTCCTCCGTGCGCGGGAGGAGTCAGCGCTGGCCCCCAGGTGCAAAGTCACACGCCTGGCGCAGAGGAGGATTATTCAGTCGCTTCGCTCACTGTGCTGGCCATGCTGTTTTATCTCTGGACACTTGCCTGCGTGCTCGCGGGGGCTGAGAAGCTGGTGGGTTGGCGGTCGTTTCCCTGGACCGTCGCGTGAGCCTTGCTTGGGGGAGGAACGATGGCGGTGCAGTTGCATGGCAAGGCTGAGTGGAGCACGGCCCCCACCGAAGTTCCGTCAGTGCTGGGGAACTGCTGTGGGCTTGCTGGAATCTCTTGGGGTCCCCTCTGGGGCCTCTGATTTTTGTGGTGCTTCTTAGGGGACTCATGGGGCATCTTGGGGCCTCTTGAGGGCTTCTGGGGGACTCTTGGGGACCTGCTGTCGATCTCGGAGGCGCTGTTGGGGGCTTCCTTGGCCGTGTTGGGGGATCTTGGGCCATCTTGGAGCCCTCTTGAGCCGTCTTGGGGCTCGCGGCCCTCTTGGGGTCCTCCTTGGGCCATTTTGGAGGCCTCTCGGGCGGTCTTGAGACCATGTTGGACCGTCTTGGAGCGCTCTTGGGCCGTCTCGGGGCCCTT